GCACGATATTCTTCAATTTTTATTTTCATATATTTTGTACAAAACTGCAAAATAGTTGAAAGATTCGTACATTTAAATATACAAAAATAAATTTCCGAAATACATACTGTAGGTATATTATTTTGTATTTTGTGAGCTTTGATTTAATGTAAAATTTAACTTGAAACGCTTCGTAAAATGTTCCGAAATGTTCATTCAAGTAAACCAACATTTTGCCGATAAACTGTTTTTACTTAACAGAACATGATAAGTTTAAAAAATAACATTGTTAGGTAATTCCAGTTCAGTCTTCAAATCAATTTGTTCGCCTTTACATTTTAAGATTTTTTCTCAAATTAAACGGTAATTTATGAAACTTAGAGCTTCGTTGAAAAGGAAAACATTTCATGTTTTTTATTACGTTAAAAGTTAAAGCAACAAAATTCGTAAACATTAAATATTCAAAGCAAACTTGCCGTATATTTCACGATTTCCCATAGTAAATCAATTCTTTTCATTTCTTCAAACAAAATCGCTTCAAGCTTGTTGTATATGAAACGATTTTCCAAATATATATATGTCTTTTAAAATTGAAATCTTGCTTGCCATATTTTTGAGATAAGTGAGGATGACCACCCACTCAAGATCGTCGCTCGTTGGTCAGCGCCCGCGGTGATTGATGAACTTTAGACTTCGCTAATGCTTTCGTTTCCCCGGGTGTAAATAGCCGGGGGGAATTAGTACCCTCGCACGGCGCTTCGCGCCGTCGGATCGGCGATGAAGAATAAAATACACATTTGTTTACATTATATATATATATATATATATATATATATATATATATATATATATATATATATATATATATATATATATATATATATATATATATATATATATATATATATATATATATATATATACTGTTGTACATTTTATAGCAATGCAGTATCTGAAGCCATGTAATATTATCGCCTTGTAGGTTTAATTTGTTGTTATACCTACGTGTTTTTGAAAGAACGAGGCAAGACTGTATATGCACAATTGTAGTTTCGGTATAAATGTTTTTGAAAGAACGAGGTAACACTACCAGGCACCATTTTAACCACCTGAAAATAGTTGAACCATCCTACACCATCGGAAACCCGATAATTAAAGTGGATTTTTCAACTTATTAAGTAATTGTTTTGGATTCGATGATAGTCTTCATTCCAAAGTTTGGGGCTGTATAAAATGGTCTTCTGGATCACGCTTAATAAGATGTTATAAAAAGCTGCCAGTTTCTGCATCCATCACTAGGCATGCAACAATATAATAATATGATAATTTTGCATATCGCCTAGAGTTTGTTTACCTGGATCAGCAAGAGGAGGATGCAGTGTTTGATGTTGCATACATATTTCTATCACGACTGAAAGCGCTGATATAGCAACTGTGCTATTCGGCTGATGTACGTGTCCATTAAAAATTAGCTGAAAAGTGAAAAGACATTAATGACAAAAAATGTACATACTAAGAAATGCAAAAGGCAAGCCAAACAACCAAGCAAGCCAACGAGAAAACAAAAAGCAAACCAAAACCAAAACCAAAACCAAAACCAAAAACCAAAAACAAAAAATCCGAAATTAAAAACCAAAAACCAAACACCCAAAATCAAAAACCAAAAATCCAAATCCAAAAACCCAAAAACCAAAAACCAAAATCCAAAACAAATCTAAACATACAAAAAGTAAACAAACTATAGCAACAACTATACCTACCTCAAATTTCTGAGTAGGCCAATATGTTATGGTGCCATTTTTCCACCTGCTGCCGTGGTTGCCGTGTATTCTCCAGAGCAGTGTTCTGTCACCAGAAACGGTTCGAACAGAGATTGATAAAGTATTGTTATCTCCAGTCACTTTGTATTGGAAATTCACACGTATTGCAGTTGAGTAATATGGAATCCACTTGTAGGAAAACCACGACGTCATGTTCTCGATACAGGCCAAACTGTGTATTTTTTCTATAATTTAATTATTTAATTTCTAATCAACGATTCTATTCAAGCAAAAAAATTAAGTCAAGAAGATATTTTTAACGAAGATGCGTATATTTTTCGAAAAGCGATCCAAGAATTTGAGCATTTGTAAATATAATCCATTTAAAACTTCGAATCAGTTTTTTGCCTCTTGTATTGTTGCATAATTCCATAAATTAAAAAAAATTTCACTGCAAGTGCACATACTGTAGTGCACTTGCAGCTGTTCCAGTATGCTTCATGTATACTATGATAGTCACTGCAAGTGCCCTATCTGATATAAAAAATCTGATATAAAAGATGTACTGGCCGTATATGTGGACAATATATTATTAATTGAAGTAATTGAAAATCAAAATTTCATGTGGATGTAGGTAAAAATTGCAAGAGGAATTAGTAGTTGAAACAGCATTACTTTGCCGGCTGCAATTGTCATAAAGCAAGGCCTGTCCATCACTATATGGATCTCATACAGAGTCAAGGGGTCAAGCATGTAATTTGCATGTTTGTAAAACAAAGTTGCCCATAAGGTCATGAAGACCCAATACTTTACTTTTTGTTTTTTAATTCCAAGAATATCACACAGAACACCCTTCCCCAATATCCCCAAATAAATCCATTTCACTACCACATAAAAGAATACTTCCTCCCTCTGAGTTAACAATGAAAGTATATTTTTATACGTCACTGCGATATTAATTTTACAACATTGAAGATAGGATTATGATGGTAGACGTGTGTAAATTGTGGAGTATTTTGTACATTCTATAAACTTTTGGTAATATTCACCAAATAGATAAATTTGTATCAAAATTAATTTTGTATCACAATCTGTAGTGTAATAAATAATAATTTCATCAGTTTTATTTCTTGTTTTCTTTAATACCCTGAAAGAAAATATATTCTTAGAAAATCTGACATTGAATATTTTTTTGGTAATGTTTACAACATGAGCGGCCGTGTTGTATTAGATATACAAACTCGAGCCGAAGGCGAGAGTTTGTATATCTGATACAACACGGACGCGAATGTAGTAAACAACTTAAAAAACGACTCATCTTATGAGTTCATTGGCGAAGTAATTTTAAAAATAAACGTTGTCTAAGCCGAGAAAATCAAAGTTAAAGTATCAACATGAATCTGTATCACATATACAGATACGACACGCTTATAATTTTTCTTTGCGTTTTCTTCATGAATTATTAATGAGTTTTTTAAAATTTATTACAATTTATTACAAATTTATTATATAATTAATGTAATTGGTACCTGGCCAGGCCCCGCCCATTTATCATTTTTTTCCAATTGAATTAATAAGAACAGTATGTTGAAAGAGGTTCAAACATGGGGGATTTTAGTGCAAAAACTGGGTTTTCTGATTAGAGAGATATTAATGTGTATAGTATTCTAAGAAATTACTATTTTTACTTCATCTGAGGTAAGCAAATGTAATCTGTTTTTTTAGTAAGACTACATTTTTTTTGATTTTTTTAGTAAGATGGAAAGATAACGTTAAAACATCGCCTCATCCTGTTACTCCACCCTTGCCACGTTCAGAAAACTAAAATACAGTTTACCATTCAAAATCCGTAAGAACTTAGTACAGGCCCTCGTCCTATCAAAATTTTACTATAACGACGTAATTTACCATTCATTGCCAGAGTACTTACAGAAACGCCTACAAAGGGTACACAAAGCAGCAGCTAGTTTCGTGCTAGGTAAATTCGCTAGATCAGCGGACGTATTATCGTTAAACTGGTTGCCTGTCAAGGAACAGCGTGAATGGAACGTTCTAAACTAAGTTACAAAGCGCTTATAGCTTCACGATGAAAACTGGCCAAGTTATCAAAAACTACAATTGGTCCAACATTCTCGAGTTCTGAGATCAAGCAAAGGCTCTCATCTTCAAGTCCCTTTGATCATAAGACCGCATTACAAGACGAATCAACACATCGTTTTAATAAAAATTAATTAAATTAAAGTGCCCATGCCATAGCCATGGAATTCGCCTTATTTAGATAGTTTAGATGATTTTAAGAACTTTTGCAATACATTTTGTAATTCGGAAATTTGATCTTCATGGCCTGTCAGGGGCTCAAATTTGGCGATTTTGCCTATTTTGAGGTTTCAGGATGGCCATGCTTAATATAGTAAGTTTACCAAAGGATATACAGTAGACGAGGTTCGTATTTTACTCGTAACTTCGAAATTTGATATTCTAGCAATATATATAGTTTGTTTACAATATTTTATATCAGTGGAAAATGCCTAACACAAATGATCGAGATTGTTTTCACTGCTGCAGTGAAACCTTTTTTAAATGGAAAAACATTTCTTTTACAATGTCTGTTTAAGCTGTAATTTTTTCGCTTTTAAGTGGCCGAATACATGAGCATTTAAAAAGAATATATAGTTTTCTCGGCGTATTAAAGTTTTATACATGTCAAATAACTTTCCGACTTTCACTCGCATTTCTCTAAAAAAATTATCAATTCTTATGAACATCGTGCTTAGTATGAAATCTTTAGGCCTTGATGATGCAATTCATTTTCGTATTTGGCTATCGTTAGGTTACGTTTATCAAACGTTTTGGGCAGATTTTTTCTTCTAAAAATTGTTTCACTCCTCATATTTTGCCGCGAAAACCAGAGCGGGCAATTGCATTTCACAGCGGGCAGTTGCGTCCCACTCTGAAAGGCTCCTCACCCAATCAGATTGCTTCATTCTTACTGATAAAGAATAAACCAAATTAATGAACAATTTGTTATTTAGTAAAAGTCAATAAGCATTGATTTAAATTGGACTTACACTATCACAGTTTATAACTATTATTAAAGTCTGTAATAAAAATCTTTGTTCAAAGAACTTTTAGATTAGCCATAGTTTTTGAAAGGTGTTTATATGCTGTCAATAATTTTATCAAAGCTGCATACTTTGAGCACAGATACTAATTGATATAGTGTAAATCAGCCTTTACATTACCAAACCTAATCAGCCTTGCTGCTCAACCCATTGAGTCACATTGCGCCCTGATGCGCCCTACTTTATTATTTTACTCTGTCTAACGCCAGACAATTTTACTCGTCAAGGCAATGGAGAGCGCTGGCACTAAATGGGTTAACTATAGCCATATTAACTATCTGCCCATGTGTCTAGTTAACCCATTGAGTTGCATTGCACCCTACTTTATTATTTTACTCTGTCTAAAGCCAGACGATTTTACTTGTGAAGGGGAGAGTGCATGCTGGCCCTTAATGTAGGTTAATGAATAATGAGTTAATGTTTTAGATATTTATTTGTTATACAAACATATTTTTTTTTTTTTTAATTAAAGTATTGTATTCCTACATATTTTCTAAAAACTTTGCAAATTTTACATATGACGAATATTTATATTTATAATATAGCATTTGTAAATTCTGAACGCTGATTGGCTAAGAACCGTGTTGATATAACTCAATGTCAACACGAAAAATTTTCCGCCGCTTGTAAATACGGAAATCTTTCTTATCCTTCGGATTTTTGACATTGCTATATCATAAAAAAATATAAAACATTTTTTCCGTATTGATATATACAGGGTGTATCAAAAAAAACTGAACAGATTTAAAATTGCTCTCAATTTCGTAAAACAGCTAGTTGTAGCTGGTTTTTTATATATATAGCTTCTTTGTGTACCTATAATGTAAAATAATGACAAAAATTTCTCGAACTTAAATTTTGTGAACCAGGGGGGTGTGTCTTTTCCAACAAAATAAAAATGGCTCGCGCACAAAATTTAAAAGCTGCAATCATATTTTGAGATAACAGATGGAAAATTTGTCGGGATTTTAATTACTGTACACAATTTCAGACAATTTGGTTTAGTTTAAGCCCCTTAACTATTCACGCAAAGTTACAATTTTCCCGAAAAATCAGCTATTTGCATGCTTAATTAATGCATTTGCCTAATTTGCATATGTCAGCAATATGCAAATTAGGAAAAGGCATTAATTAAGCATGCGAACGGCTGACTTTTTAGAACAAAATGAATAGTTAAAGGGCTTAAACTAAACCAAATTGTCTGATATTTTGTACAGTAATTAAAAGCCGGACAAATTTTCAATCTATTAACTCAAAATATGATTACAGCTTTTAAATTTTGTGCGCGAGCCATTTTTAGTTTGTTGCAAAAGACATACCCCCCTGGTTCACAAAATTTGAGATCGAGAAATTTTTTTCAATATTTTACATTATAAGTACCCAAAGAAGCTATATATATAAAAAAACAGATACAAATAGGTGTTTTGCGAAATTGAGAGCAATTTCAAATCTGTTCAGTTTTTTTTTATACACCCTGTAGTTATATCAACACTCATGGAATTGAGAAAACTCGAAATTGTATGAAAACACTCCGCCCTTCGGGCGTCGTGTTTCCATACAATTTCTCGTTTTCCCAATTCCACTAGTGTTGATATAACTGTATATCAACACGGAAAATGTTTTATATTTGTTAAATTTCGTTTTTAATTGAATGTTTAATTATATATAGTTATTGTAGATCATATAAATTTTGTAAGATGTGCCTATTGATACACCAGGCGGAAATCTTAGTTTAAAGATAAAGAACAGAGCCAAGCAAATAACTTTAAACCATTTATTTTGTAAATATATATATACCATACCCTGCAAATTCATTTAGTCTTAGATTGCTCGGAAGATGTTGTACCGGGTGTCCCAAAAAAAAGTACTCCGATTTGATTCTTAATAACTTCTAAACAAGTAAAGCTATCGAACAGAAATAACTTGCATTAAATAGAGAAAGGACTAACTTAGATTTTGATATATTACAGTTGTATATTTTACTTAAAAATTCACGGAGATATTAATGTTCAAAGTCGGGAGCATATTTTGCGATGCGTCTAAAATTAGCGAAAATCGGCATATCAAATATTAACTTCAGCGTTTGTTTGC